CCGGACACACCCAGATGGTTGTGTCTATGTTTTTATTCATCCATCTTTTGTTTCTGGTGGCAAAACTGACATCAATTTTATGTGAATTTGAGGTTCATATTGTCATGTCTGAGTGATGACTGCTTTTTCAGTTCAAGATCAGTACAGTGTCTGAACTGTGTGGGAATAAGAGATAAAACTTACCACAAATGTTACTGTTTGATAAAAACACATCACATCAGTGGCCCGTCACAGGACAATATGTGGTTAGTTCATTATTTTAAACAAAGATCGATAAACATGCACATGTGCATCATTTTCTACAACCAACCGACTTTCTATTAAGCAATTTTGTAAACTAAAAACCTCACATTCTTTATTGCCTGCTGCTTTTCAGGACAGGAATTTAAACCAACATGATTTTCTGTTCAGAAGAGATGGATCTGAAGCTGTTTTGGTCAAACTTTGAAAAAAAAATGTTATAAGCAGTCTCAATACATGATGTTATGATCAGTGTATGTGTTAATTACTTTCTGCTAATACCACATCACATTTCAGTATCATTAAAATTTACACAGCTGATTTTATTTTGGTTAGGCTGAATTGGGTAGTTTTACTCCACAACTTAATTAGTTGATGTCTAAAGAGTTTTTCATTAAAATGTCATCAAAATCCAACTAGTGTTTGTTTCATTACTTTAATTTTAAATTTGAGATCTTACACAATCTGTTAGTGTTGGAATCACTCTCAGCTACTACCACACCAAATTTTAAGTAAATATCTGTCAAATTCACTGAATTACAGTTATTCCTAAGTTGACTGTGGCAGCCATCTTTAAACTGWTTGATTCCAAATGGTTTTTTTTCTTTACAATTTATTTCTCAGTCCAATTTTTGTGACCACGGAGTATAATATTTACTTATTCTGATTTAAAAACAATAAAAAGTGATCATTTCAAAAATAAAAACGTTTCATTAGCTGGTTTAAGCATTTTTGGTAGATTTAGTTAGAATATTTTATGAGCCCTGACTTCCACAAATATTGTCTCCCAGTACAAACCTCCCATCMTTTTTTCCTTTTGATGTTTTTGGATTTGATCCATTAACTGAGTGAGTGACTTTATAAAACATTTGGGCCTTCCTTCTCTTTCACCATCCCATTTGACAGGAGATACTCTTCCAAATTTGAAGCAGTGGAAACTCTGAGCCATTAAGTTGTCCACAAAGCGTTTCTCTCTTGCGCTTTTTCTAATGATTCATCTGATCCCACAGAGACTAAGGTAAAAAGGTTGATGCTGCTGGATCATTTGAACATCAGCAAAGTGATTTACATCCTTGTATTAACCAGACGCTGGGTTATGGACTTCCACTTTGGGCTGGAAAAAGCAACAGCGAATAACATCATAGGAGAGGGTTTGGGGATGGATGTGATGGAGAGAAGGGAAAGGAGGTGGAGGAGTTTGAACGCTGCCTGAACCACAAAATTAAAAAATAAGAAGAAAGATGACGGGCCGCCTCATTTGTCCATATGTTGCAAATCATCGCATCTGTTTACAATTTATTTTATTTACTTTGGTGATGCTTTGGCCGAGCAGATTAACATTTTCTTCAGTGTTTGTTGTGTTCTGGAGCGGGTTTTCTCTGGCACTCGGTGACGCTTGTTTGAAGTGAGAGCAGCGCCGGCTTTGAAGCTTTGGTGGATGAAAGCAGAGCATCCAGATATGACTCGAGGATAATCTAGAAATGAGTTTTTGGCTGCCTCTGAAGGCGACCGACAGGCGACAAACATGTTACTAGCTGTTGATTAAATGTTACTTGAGATCCAGGGGATACAAAAACACAGAGCAGAGAAGGAAACCCCTAAGTACACATAATCAAATGAGTTAAATGTGTTTATTTAATGACAAAAAGCTGTGGATTTAATGAGTAAAGGACTGTTTTTATCCATGCTTTTATTTATGAGTGATGTTGTTTGCTATAAATCAATGAGAGCCATCAGCAGATCTTGAAAGCATTAAATGCTTAAAAATATTTTATAATACATCAAAATGTGTCAAAGAAACACCAGCCTGTTAGAAATCAGCAACATGTTTCCAGAGAGCCAGCTGGCACTATTCAAAAGAGTTATTTATTTATTTTTAAGGCATAACTGGTCTGCTGCAGATTGTCAAAGGTAAAAATTACAGGAGATACACTAAAATCCAATGTTCAAATTAAAAAAAAAGAATGCTCAATGAAAACTCCCTCTGGCAAAGGATAAAATGTGTCTGGATTTAACTTTTCTCTCAGTTAATCTAATAAACTCAATCTTTTGCGAATTAATCTCTCATTAAAATTTACATAAATACAGCCTTTTTAGACAATCTAGCATGAGCAGAATATTTTACTTCTATAAAAGAATAAATCAGCAAACTGTAAGGTTTGCAAAACCTAAAAGTAACAGAAATATATTTGAAAACTGAAATGTTTCTTTTTGGCTGCAGTTAGAGTTATGAAAAATAACACTTAACATTTTAAGGAAATGACAATTCTAGTTAACTGTATTGTAATAAAATTAAATACTGAAATGTTACCAGAAGCGAACAAACAAACTGCTGGGTTCAAAACTTTATGACGTAGTTTTATCAGTTTGACCCAGAGTGGCCAATTTGGTTAAGTTTTCTAYCAAAAATTTGTTTAAAATGACAGATTTGTCCAACTAGAGCTAATTATGATCTAAGATAATATGAACAACCAAAAATCTTACATAACCATAACTTGGGTTGGCGCAAATCAGCCAATGTTATTTTAGGTAATCAAACTCGATGTTTAGCACAAAGTAACAGTATTAACAAAGCCAACTAAGTTAAACATTTTCTTATATTTAAATTTAATTAAATTTAATTAATTTTTTACATCCTAACTTTACTCTTTATTTAGCAGAGATGTAGTCA